TATATATATATATATACACATCCACATTTATCCAAGGGGGGGTACAGAGTTGCACCAATTCCAAAAAGTTTTTGTTCCAATTCTGTACATCAATGCAATTATAGTTACTTTCCTTCCATTACAACAATATTATATGTTTGGCTGTGTGGGAAAGTGTGGGAGAAAAAAAGACATGGTGCAAAAAATGCATTGATATGGAAGTTCAGAGCATTAAATATATATGGTGCAAATATGCAGTGTTTGGTTTGGTGTGATGCAGAGTCTGTGACATAATTTTTAGAGTTTTCAAACATTTCTGTAAAATTTGGGGTTGTATAAAATGCTTCTTTAACTGTGATTCAGGGCCAACTTCAATAAGAAGGGAGCACGGTTGGTAATGTCTCTCTTCTGTAACCCTAAGCAACTTCTCTAGTCTGAGTAAGATTACATATATGTCATTCCAAAAAAGTTAAAAAACAATCCACTGGACTTGTTTCCAAGTTTGAAGACCTTTCGCTTTGCATCCAGGAAGTTTTTTTCAAACTTGGAACCAAAGTCCAGTGGATTGTTATTTAACTTTTTTGGAATGAGTATGACCTAGGTGACAGAGAATCTTCACCAGCATTAGATTTATGTCAAAATCTATTATCATTTCTCATGGTTATTTAATAGATATACATTATGAAGTGTTATTTAAAGAGAATCCGAGAGAAAAAGCTTTAAGGTGTAAAGACAGAGCTTTAATTTACATTATTAATCTAAGTTCATGCACAATTAATCACTGACCCACTAATTATGATCCAGCACCTGTTTCAGAATGTGTTCAGTTTGTTTTAAAGCTATAAGAGAAATAGAATGTTTTTTCCTTTAAAGTTAGTCTAATCTTCCATAGTGGGCGAGGAAATCAATTAGTAAATCCCTCTGGTTTTGCAAAGGGGAGAATATGCAAGCTTTCCTTATGAAACTGAGGGTAAATTATCCATTGCTGTTATTAAGATAACAGTTTTAAAACTACAGCAGGTTTGGTACCTATTAAAAAATCCAACTAGCTCACAATAACTTGATATACTTCATAAAGAGCAGAGTGGCAAGTATGATATGATTCAGTAGAACTAAAATGGGTGGTTGTGTATCCTATGGGTTGGATTGAAAATATTGATATTATAAGCAATTCTAAGTAATTTTAACAGAATTATACGTTCCAAAAAAAGAAAATTAAAAACAATTCACTAGACTTTGTTTCCAACTTTGAAGACGTTTCGCTTCCCATCCAGGAAGCTTTCTCAATTCAAAATGTCAGGAATAGCGTTGAGTTCGAGGTTTTATACATCAGCCCAACAAAGCCTTGTTCAATGCTATTCCTGACATTTTAAATTGATCCAGGGCTTATAAGAAGCGAAACATGTTCAATCTTGGAAACAAAGTCCAGTGGATTGTTTTTCATTTTATTTTTTTGGAATGACTATGACCTGGACGACTGAGAACCTTCACCAGCGAACCGGATTAGACCTTATTTTGGATGTTTTGTTTTAAGCAAAAGCACATAGATCATGCAATACATTTTTATCTGTTTATTTTAGTCCAGGTTCTGCTTTTAAAACCTCAATCTTGGTTTCTACAGATACAAACAGACACATATATTCAGATTGTTATAGTATGTATTTAACAGGCACTTTTATTACAATTTTGAAAAGATTTATCAAAAAGTGAAAAGAAAATCATTGTTATTCAGAGAATCCCTTGTACAAATCACTTCTTCTTCTACTTCTTGTATGGTTTTATGGCAGTTGGCCAACTAGTTAAAAGTGCATTACCACCACCAACTAAAAAGGAGTTAAAAAAGGAAACAAGAAAAAAGACTCATCCCCAGAAAAAAAAATATACAAAAAAAAGGCAAAAAATTTATAATATTTTTCCAAATTGAACAGAGGGAGTCACAGTCAGGGTTACAGAGAAACAGGATAACACTGAAAAAACAGGCCAATCTCAAACATCTATAAACAAAGGGACATTTCTCTAGGATGGTGTCACAGCCGAATAGGAACAGACCAGATTAAGCTATTATGAGAAAAAGCAGAGAGAGCATAATGTTAGAGATTGAACTAATAAATTCTGCAGAGTGGGAGAATAGGGATAGAATGAAGCAGAATGATGGGGTCACTATGTCCTCCAGGAGTCTAAGCCTATAGCAGCATTACTTAAGGATAACCTGAGAGTCTCTAACAATAAGCTTTATCAAAAAGGGAAAGTTCAGTAACTGCTCTCCTTCACACAAATCACTGCACAGGGATTGATCAGAGGATTTGTGGTGGGAATGGGAATTTGTGGTGTTCTAGTAAGAAGGCGGGGCCCCGGAGCATGCGGGCCTATCGAGAGGCAGAGAGGCGGATCATCCCCGCGACGGTCTGAGCTCCAGCAGCAGCAGCAGCAGCGGTACAGGGAGTAGCTTCACTTGTGCAGGAACTGACTCACCACCGCAGAAATCCGCTAACGGGAGCAAATGAAAACGAAAACAAGACTTTCCTGTGGATTAATTTCGGGGCGAGGCGTTGTATCCAAACATCTGTACGTCTGAAGCACTTTGGGTCGACTGACGAAGATCGGGACGTTACCTCCGGAACATTGTTTCCACCGAATGGTGTCTCCTGCCCCGCCGCTAAGGTTAGTTAGCTTCCATTGCTGGCTGTCTTTGGTTCTGCTCTGTTGTTGGATGACGGGCTCTGGCTATTCTTTGGAGAACAAACACACATAGCATTATTCACCTTTTTTTTTTAGACTTCGTTGCGCTACAACCGCGCTTTGCATCGAACCGATAGGAAACGAAACGTCTACAAAGTGCCCAATCCTCCGGGCCATCGGACGAAAACATTATTTGCAGTTAGCTCATCACAGTCAGCTCCTTAATAATGTTATAAATCAGAAACACGTGCTACATGGCTAGGCTAAGCTAGCAGATAGCTAAAGTGTTAGCTAGGCTAGCTGTCAGAGCCGCTAGCGGCTGTTTTATTGAAAAGAAAGAATTCAACGGTTGTCTTTTCCTTTTTCACAACACCACATATTTTATAATAAAGCGAGTGTTTATCCGGGAAACATGCTGTCATCGTGTCTTAGTGTGGGAAAATAGTGAAGTTTGTTACTCGGACTGTTAGGGATAACGTTAACAGTTTGTAAACAGGGATTTTATTGGGGCGCACGCGGTAAATCCTGTCATTAAAGGTCAGATTTGTTTGATTAATTAGGTAATAACATTTGATTTTTGACTGTATTTAATTGCCAACCTATTAAGGGGAGATAGAAGTGGTCAGTGATTAGCGTTGATGTGTGATTATCTCAGATTTGATGTGTTGCGGTTTATAAAACCAATGTTTATGCGGACATTTGAGGTTTATGTTGAATCGTCACGAATCACTTTCTGTCTTGTTATTTTAGGGTAAAATGTGGGTAAAAAAAATGAGTTTATTATTTATTTCTGCTGTTTGGTCTCTGCAGCCAACTTTTTTTTTTTTTTTAAATCAAGCGTCTGGCTTTCATTCATGAACACTCAGACACATCTGGACCTCATTACAGTTTCTGGACATCAGTGATGTAATCCATGTTAGTAGGAACTCGTTTATGTCAAAATACAGAAATCAGTTAAAACAAAAAAAGCTTTAGAATAGCTGTTAAATGACAGTAAGGTTGTTAATGTGCTGGGTAAAGGTTGTTTACAGCTTCATCTAATTTACATTGCACATGTGATCTCCATCCATTTGCTTATGTTCAGATAAGGTCCTTGATCTTTGATAAATGTTCTCCTGCTTCAGTAATTTTGAATAAATGTTTGTTAAATCTCACATCCCTGTTCTTTGTAACCATTAATTTATGTTTCTTACTCTTAAATATGTTTACAAATTCAGGGATTGGTGATAATCTGTCATGATCCAACATTTAGCCTGATAAACCACACTAAATGTGAGATTAAATCTGTAATTTAGTCTGGTATTTCAGTGGCATTTTTAATTCAAATCCCAGCGACACAGATTTACTTCCATAGTCTGGCCCCGAAGAATGAGACATTGATGAATGAGAAGATTGTTGATGAGAACAACCGGTTGTTTTTTAAACCATGTCTTTGCCTTTTGGTCAACGCTTTGACCAATGAGCAACTGACTGTGACGTGGTAAGCGCAACAGGAAGCTGGTGGGGGAGTGTAAACAAACAGCCTGTCGGTAAAACGATGAATACGTCTTTCTCAAAAATGAATGAGCGTAGAGCCTCTTCCTGCTCACATTTACACGAAAACCATAAGTCTAATCCTTCCAAAACTGATTCCAAAGCTGAGTCAAACGGGAACTGTTCAATAGTTGTTGCCATCTTCCTTTTTGTCCTTTCTCCAGCGTCGCGCAGCTTTGTCGCCATGCCCTAAAAACCCCGCCCGTTGTGATTGGCCAGCCAATTCTAGGGCCTGGAGCGTTGATCGAGGCTAGACCACTCACAGGCAAAAATTATTTCTATTATTAAAGGGCAGATTATACTTATTCGCACACAAGAAATGTCGCTTGGATCTGGTCGCGAACCAGTTTTGCTGGTATGCTTCTGCACCATCGGTCTGGAATTACTGGGGATGCACAGCAGTTTCCTGCCAAAGCACAATGGGGAGCCTATTTGAGAACTTGTGAGAACTTTGTGAGTTCAAAACTCGTTTTGGCTGAGACCTTGGCATGTTTATATAATTTGTCTGAGGCATAGTACAAGTGGTTGTACTTCTGAACGTCCTCGATTAACCTTTCGTCATAGTTGTCAATTGTAGTTGTTCCTCGGTTTTTAGAAATGGCGCGCCCCAGCACTAAATCGAGAAGGACGACCACACAGACAGCAGGAAAGGCATAACAAGGATCAATCACGGCTGCTTTTTGTCTGCGCAGGTTTGCAACCGTCCGACACATAATTTTTTTGAGGTGCACGGCGAGATTTACAGAACCTCTGCACGGGGGGCGTGGTCGCACACAGAGAGATTTGATGGTTGCAGAGGCTATGCGTCAGAAGCATAAATTGGCCTCAATCCCAGGGTACATTGCAGACAGGTTGGAGGCTGGAAACGTATATTAACCTATGGTATTTGGAAACTCTTGAGAATACAGCCTTCAAAAATCAATATAACTGGGTGATGCAGTCAGTGACATAATCACTGTGGCTTAAGGTAAACAGCAGCTGCAGGTTTGCTCATAGTAACATACCTGAGAGTTTTGGTCTAGTGGTTAGAGCAGTGCGCTTGTGCTCTGAGAAGGTTACAAAAACCTGATTATACCTAATTATAGAGCTGATTTTTTCCCCTTTATTTTCATTAACAATCTAAATGCTTATTTTTTTCTTTAAAATATAAAAATTACATTTTTGTTTCATTTCTTTTGAACCTCCAAATAAGGCATTTCAGACGTTAGTACATTCTATTAAAATGTTTTGTCTTAAGAGGTATCAGAATATTAACTAACTTTACTCTAACTTGTAAACAGACAGATTATACTGCATGTTGTTAATGGCAAATAGGACAAAATTATTTTAATGAATACTTTTGCTCCAAGGAAAAAAAAAAATCATAATTTCTTTCAGTTTAGGTCTATTTCATGATATTGTAGACATTCAGTGTAATTTATTACCTTTTTTATTGTATTGTTTATTTTATTTTTCTAATTCATTTATTAATACTGAAACATACCCACTTAAAAGGGTTTAAAATAATCAGAATTAGTATCAATATGCAACATAACTACACAGTAATGTCATTGATAAAACGGCTAAAAATGTTTTTCATACCAAGCATCCAATTTAAGACGGAAATTAGATTAGAAATTGATATCCAGCTCTGAGGAAAACGCACACAAACACATCAAGAGCCCAGATCTAGATCTGATTTTTTTTTTAAACATTTACTAATGTAAATATGTCCCATGCTTTATTCAAACCTGTTTTTTGTTATTATCTCAATATTAATACCCGACGCTTATGCACTGCTCTGTTGTATAAAATTCTGGAATTTGTTTTCTCTCCAAATTTTGTAAGTCTAGTTACTTTTAATGTAAAAACTTTCTATCTTTAAAAGTAATAATAACTAAAAACAAAAAGTTGAAGCCCATCTAATTCATCACCAAACAAGATGTTTGATTTCTTTCTTTTTTTCTTCTTTTTTTACGATATGACGGCAGCCAAAAACCCTCCGATTTAAAAAAACCCCAGCAGATATCCACTTAGAGTATTTATTTTGACTGACTGTCAAACTTCAGGCATTGCGGGTGAGTGTCCTGTAACTTTTAGGGTGGTAGTCTGCTGACGGATTAAACTAATCCAATAATTAAAGCATTAGCAGCAATTTGTGGAAGTTGGCTTCATGCTAAAAGGGTAATTGAGTCATTTGAATGAGGTGTGTTGGACCAGGCATCTTAAAGTTTCTTCTCAAAGGCCCTTAAAGGCTGTATTTTGACACCCCTGGTAAAGCACAGCCCTTCTGGAAGCCTTTCCCTGCATACAGATCTGTGTTATGTTTGTACTACATTGAGCATGGCAGTCACTTCATTTTTTAAATATTTTATGTGTAAATTCAATGCTTGGGGACACCAGATAATTACTTTTTAAAATAACATTCACAAATCATCTAATTGGTGCAGTCCTTAATGTCCAGTTTGTTCATTCTGCTTTTTGTCTGTGTCTAACTGTTGTTTCTGGTTATATTTATGATTTAGGGAATAATGGAGAGTAAGCAGCAACGAGATGTAAGGTTTTAAGTAAATGTGTTACATAGGGCTGAAGCATTTAAAATAGAAAAACTCATGATTAATGTATTGTTGAAATAATTGTTGACCAATTTTGTAATATGTTAATCGTTAACTGGATTATAGAGACTTTAAAACGTGCCTTTAGCTGACAGAGCGACCCACTTAGAGCAGTAATTATACTGAAATTGTAAAAAAAAATATATAAACATTTTCCATTTAAGATAAAAAAATATTTTTGTTTGTCAACATGCTCTATCCATAACTCCTCAAGTGGAAAAGTTTTAGTTTAATCTGATTTAATTAAGTAAAAAGTCCTCTTTAAGGAACCTTTGCCTGTCCAATTATTAATTAAACAAATAATTGTTGACCAATTTTGTAATATGTTAATCGTTAACTGGATTATAGAGACTTTAAAACGTGCCTTTAGCTGACAGAGCGACCCACTTAGAGCAGTAATTATACTGAAATTGTAAAAAAAAAATATATAAACATTTTCCATTTAAGATAAAAAAATATTTTTGTTTGTCAACATGCTCTATCCATAACTCCTCAAGTGGAAAAGTTTTAGTTTAATCTGATTTAATTAAGTAAAAAGTCCTCTTTAAGGAACCTTTGCCTGTCCAATTATTAATTAAACAAATAATTGACAGATTTATCAAATTTGCAAAAATATTTGTTAGTTGCACCGCTGGTGTTTGCATTTGTTTTTTAAAAATAAATCTGATTTTTAACCAACATGATAATAGCTAGTGAATTAGTTGAGCTTTCTGTTGCTGTAGCTAGTCTGCAGTAGAGCCAAGTGTGGCTAACTGTACATCAGAATGTTATTTAATGGGATTATTAGGTGATCCTTCAATATATGTCCAAATCGCTAAATTTTTCTGTGTTCAAAGAAATTGGAACAAATGTAGC